ACCCCTACAATTCTGTGATTCTGTGATCTTGCAAGTCAGTGGCTGAGGAGGGGGAAGGGCAGCAAATGTGTGCAGGTAATGAATAAGCATCTGTTAGTGCTATTTAAATGCCACAAAGACATTCAGAAACAGAATTTTTTTATTTCCTACTTGTATGACCTAATGAAACTACCACTGGATTAGCAAGATTAATACTGGTCTTCTGACTTTGAAAAGGCACTGAAAAGCACGTATTTTTTTGTTCTCAAGAGACAGAACAAAGCATGGAATACAGTAACAGTTACAAAGAATTGTCCAGGTACTCAAATGGGGCATCCTGGATGATTCAAGGATTTGAAAAAGTTGTTATGAATTTTCTAATCATCAAATAGAAAGGGGGAAAATAAATAGAGTATTGATAGTTTATGGCAATTAAAGGAATGAAATAATTATAAAATGGAACGGTTCAGGTAAGATGTTCAGAAATATTTTTGACCCTAGGCATTTTTGTTAAGGGACTGCTGTGCCCATCTGCTGGCAAAATCAAAATTGCAGTATTGTATTATGATCATTTGCTAAAGATCTGATTGTACTACATGCACAAGAAGGAAGGTATCAGTACTGTTTTCCATTCCTCTTATTTGCAAGCAGTACCACTTGTAGGAAAAACTTAATTCTCATCTAGAAAGAAAGATTTTGTATAAACTCAAGTTAATGCCTTTTCAGGAGATATAATGTTCCTCAAGTAGAATATAATAGAAGCCTATAAGGAGTGAAGATAACATATCAATCTCCCAGGCTGGACAGAGTAGCAAGATTCATATAAGAAATCAGGTTCAGTTCATGAATGCAGCAAACAGAGCCTCTGCAGTGTTGCAGGTGAAATACATATACCACAAATATAGAAAATATAGAGTACTGAAACTACTTGAATTACTCTGAAAGTACTGCAGGTAAAAGGCATAGGTGAACAAGCTTTACTTTCCAGACTCTCATTTAAAAAAAAAAAAAAAAACATTCTTTAATCGATCATCATGTCCACACATACAGAAGCGGAGTTAAAAAATGAAGGTAATTTGTTTTACAGTAGAATTGTTAAGCACCAGAACAGAAGAGCTGAAGATACTGACTCACTTCACGTTCACACACAGTGAAGCCACTAGCAGCCCCACAGTGGTACAGCTAGGACTGAAGGCAATGGCTGCCAGTGCCACAGAATGGCTGCTATGCTGGGGCTCTTTGCTCTTGAGAGTTGGTGGTAACCATGCTCCATGTGTCTTAAGTATATATCATAGTTTTGTCACCATAATTTAAAGCCTTAAGTAATATAGAAGTTGTCTCAGTTGTGCAAGGTCAATGATAGTGATGGGAAAGGAGTAGATAATTGTTACAGATCTAATCCGAAGGCAATGGGCACAAAGCTTTGTCCTTTAATAGCACATGACTCTGCAGTCCTCCCTGCTTCAATGACTGCACATGAACAAGGAGGACAGGACATCACGCATCCCTCAGTACCACTGAAAGTAAAATTCATTAACAGTAGTGCAACACCTTTTATCCTTTGCCTGGTGTCCCTTTGATACAAAGGGACAAAGTGAGTTATCTGTCTAAGCCATGGTTTCTATATTATCAATATTCTTGTGGCTTTCAAAACACAGATAGGAAACTGAAGAGAACAGAGATATTTCAACAGGCAGTTTCTGAGTATATTAAGCTAGATCAGAGCTTCCCCAGTGGGTGGAAAGTAGTCAGTTTGCTGGTAAAGCACAGGTGTGTTAATAATGCCTTAGTAGAAGAGCATCCCTCAGTAGCTGCACCTCCTGGAATAGTATGAATACAAACTTCTGGGGTAATGGTCATCCAAGAATGATGATACCAAAAGAAAATTGCTTTCTTCCCCTACCATTCCTGCTCCTACATTCCTTCAAAGTATTTTAAATCTGTGACATTTTATACCCAATGGAGCTGGCAGGTCTATTTCTGAGAAAAACCTTATGGGATCCACTGTGCATTTTAACTGCAATTATTAAGATTGTGGAACAATCCTGTTAATGCTCTGATTTTTCTCACTGCATTCCAACTCTTTTGTCTCCTATTTAGTACATTTTGTCTTCCTTCACAGAACTAAGCAGCACTGTGATAAAGCAAACTGGTAACCTCCCAAAAGTAGATCCAAGGTACAAAACTGTACAATTGTGAACAAAGGAAAAGAACAAACAACCTTTTCAAGTAGTTTTCAATCAGTTATAATCAAGATTCTCTTCCCAGTAGTTAATGAGTCTAGACTAATTAGATTGAAGCCCCAAAACTCCCAGTACGCAAGTTGAAGATTTCCCCCTCTTTCCTTCTTCCTAAAGGGCACCAAAAATAGGTACTTTCCAAATAATCATTTCTTCTTTTAAAGCAGTACTTCAAATAAGCTGATCTGGATTGCTGGGTATCATGCTCAGCACAGGCATAGTTCTGTATATTATAGCAGTTGTCTTGAGTAATGTGTGAGGCTCTTCATTTAGAATCTTGCCTTGCCACTACAGAAGGAAATAGAAAATGCAAATTATTCCTTCACATGAATGGTGTACTATACTATCATTATACTACTAGTGAATTTGAGGGACAGCAATCTAAGGGAGATTCAATAAGACTACATATTTTGGACTGAATTACTAGTGTGGGCTAATGATCAGAATAAATTAAACCTGTATCTGCCATCCATTAAAATAACTTATAGACGTCAATTATTACAAATTGGTCTCTAAGCCACACTAACTTAAAAGAGCATCCCACTACTCAGAGTTTCACGTCCTCAAATAAAAGATCTATTAAGCTTTCCTTTAAAATGTTTCCAAACAAACAAATGTTTAGTGTTTATGCTAGTTCTTTATAAGGCTACAATTCAGCCTCCAATGCAAGTAAGTAGAAAAAAATTCTGCAAATTTCAAACTGTACATGTAAAATAAATATTAAATAATGCTTTCCATCCTTTACATTTTGAGGAACAGTTTGTGAATGAAAATCACATTCTGTAAAGCCTTCCATTTAACCACAAGAGGGAGAATTTTGTCTTCAGTTTGGAAAGAGCCTGACTGTGCCCTTGCTCTAACTGAGAACCAGTGAGAGCTTTTTTCACTAACACAGGAATTCCCCCTAACAAATTGTTAATACTAAAAACTGCAGAAATTTCTGAAATATCAAGGAGTAATTTCCACAATAAATGCCTTTGCTGTGCAAAATGAGTTACATCACTATATACAAATGGATTGATAGACAATTCACTGTCCTAAAAGCATATGTATAAGGGGACGCTTTTCAGGATTAACACTGACAGACAAAGACATTCTAATTTTCAAAAAGAAAACTACAGATTGTATTTTCAATAACACCTTCTGAAAAAATGTTACTACTCACCAAAATCCTATATTTTGACATAACATACATTCACAAATATATTCCTGCTTTTATAAGCATCAAAACATTCTAGGTGCCTCTCTAGGACCCAGCTACAGGGTCTAGTTAGAAATATGCACCAAATGGCCAGCTGCAATTGCATCTGTGTGCACTCTTTCAGATTGCTGCAAACTACATATCATGATAACCTTCAAGCTGCTCTCCTGGTAAGCTACCTTTCATCCCTTTAGTTTATGAACTACAAATGTGTGCAGAGAAGACTTCATTACTGTCACTAATTTACTGCAGTAGCTTCATATGTTTGGGGCACTAAACAGCTGTCACTAAGCATATGAACTTGTACACTGGTACAAGTGTACAGCTATGATCATCAGATACACACCTAACAGAGTTCTGAAAACATACACTCTCCTGCCTGCATAATGTGCTGATCCTGAAGAAATGGGCATAATCAGATGACCTCTGGCCCCACCAAGGGCAGTCAGCATGCAGTGTGAGGTGCTATCCTTGTACATTCAGTGTTTATTCAATAATAGTGAGGCTACTTTTGAGAATAATATTTTCTCTTACTCCCTGGGAAGTTCACCACCAAAAGCAGACTGTGCTGTTAACACTAATGAGGTTAGTGTTGTTGTTAGTGTTGTCTGCCTTGTTTACAAGTGTAGATGAAGACGCATCTTGAATCTTCCTTTAGTTTTTCATTCCACTGGTTCTTTTATCTTATAAGTAGTTTTTGAAAGAGTGCATCTTGCTTTGGCAATAAATCCAGTTCTTGGAGAGACAAAGGACAACATGGTAGTGATAAACACGTCCTGAGTCACTGCAGTAAGCTAAAAGAAAATAGTCACAACCTTTGCTCCCTCAGTAAAGATTTGAAGAATACAGATACGTTTGTTTGACTTTCTTTACTTTTTTGCCTGAAAGTTTATTTGACATACTTTTCTGTCTCTTCACTTTCAGTTTGCTCCTTCAGATCTTTCGAAATATTTCCTAATGGATGAGTTGTTAGCAAATTTTACTATGACAAAAGCTTGCTTGCTACTTCCAAGAGAGCAAATTTCTGTTCTCTTGCATTTCCCCAAAACATCTTTGAGCCATCCATATCAAACAGATTTATTTTTTTTTTTTAATGAATTTAATGGACATACAGAGGGATTCAGTAAATGCCAGAGCTCATGCAAGGTCCTTCATGAAAGTTCGTAGAGAGTAGAAAAAGTAAGGTGAGAAATCTACTCTTTCTATGACCATGAAGTATGAGATCACATCTCCTTATGAAATGATGACATGAGACAGCTTATAATAGTTAACCCTGTACCTGAAAATATGCAGTTTTGAGCTTACAGTCTGCAACCATTTAACCCATTCCTGAAAACAGGAAGAATCTATAAACCTGGAATTTATTACTTCATAGTTCTTATTAAATTAATTATCAAATAATAGTGATAACCTTTCCAAATTCACTTTCATTATTAATAAAGAAGCCTAATCTAAATGTATACATCTATAGTTTTCATTATGTAGTTCCACTGAATTATTTTTAAAGATAATTTAATTGAGAAAGAATAGCTAAGCCACAGTGATAATACCATATACTAACAGCCCATTTCCAGTCATACCTGTGATCATACTTGATATGATTAATGGCAGAATGATAAGTTTGAGCATTCTCATCAGCACCTCCCCAGGAAAGGAAAAGTAGAATTTATCCAGGTTAGACAGCTTGCCATATTCTCGTACCAGCATGCCAACTCCAATACCTAAAAAACACATAAAACATGACAAAACTTAGCAGTAATTTATAAGAGACTCATGGGGAAAAGGAAAGAAATGTAAAAGAAAACAAAAAAGGGTAGGAATAGACATATTTTTACAGCTGTGGTGAAACTTCTAAAGCAAACTGGAGACATTTCTTTTGGTCATTCCTTTTTTGTGCTGTATATTGATTACAGTAACAATAATAAATACATATAATTGTGAAGTTGGATGACTTTTTAGATGTGTCTTTGGAAAAACCTTGATTGCACTTCTGATTATCAGTTCAGTTCAGCACGGACACTCTACCTGCTCTCTCCAGTTCTCAGAAATCCTTAACTAGCATTAAAAAATAGTATTATACATACATTCTTACTGCACATTTAAGAAATGAAGTGATAAAATATACTGAATAAAATATACTGAATAGTGGTGAAAATATACCTACTCAGCAGCAACACTTTCAGTAATTGACTCTCTACATAATCAGTGTGACTACAATGACTAAATTGATTTAGTTATTTCCAAGAAATTAATCAATGAAAATACCATTAAGTATATTTTACACTCATTTGTCTGCACGACCAATCTATGAAATACCAAACTATTACTACAGTCAGTAGAATCATAGAATCACTGAATAATTTGAGCTGGAAGGAACCTTTAAATGTTATCTAGTCCAACTCCCCTGCAGTGAACAGGGACATCTACACAGATCAGGTTGCTCAGAGCCCTGTTCAGCATGACTTTGAATGTCTTCAAGGATGAAGCATCCATCATATCTCTGAGCTACCTGTTCCAGTGTCTCATCACCCTTAATGTATTGTCTTTCCTTACATCCAATCTAAACCCTCCCTCACTTAGTTTGAAACCATTTCCCTTGTCCTATCATAAGAGACACAGCTAAAGAGTCTGTTCCCTTCCACTGGACACTGAAAGGCAACTATCAGGTCTCCGCAGAGCCTTCTCCAAGCTAACCAGCTCCAGCTCTCTCAATCTGTCCTCACAGGGGAGATGTTTCATTCTTGGGTCATTTTTGCTATCCTCCTCTGGATGTGCTCCACAGCTCCAAGTTTCTCCTGTACTGAGTACACAGTACTACAGGTGAGGTCTTACCAGCATAGAGTAGAGAGGCAGGATCACTACTCTTGACCTGCTGATTATACTTCTTTTGATGTAGCCCAGTATACAGTTGGCATTCTGGGCTGTGAGGGCACATTGCTGGCTCATGTCCAGCCTGTCATCCATCAGTGGCCTAAAGTCCTTTTTGACAGGGCTTTGCTCCAACCTTTTGTCCCATAACTTATACTGATAGAACTGGTTGCCACAACCTATGTGCAAGACCTTGCTCTTGTCTTTGTTGAACCTCATGAGGTTCACCTGGGTGCACTGCTTGAGACTGTCTAGGTTTCCCTGGATGGCTTCTCAACCCTGAGGCATGTCAACTGTACCACACAGCTTGGTGTAATCTGCGGATTAATATATTTCCAATTTAGAGAGAAAGACATTGCAGGGAGCTGTATCAAAGGCCAGAAATAATGACATCAGTGACTCTTCCTTTGTACACTGACGAAGTTAAGCCATCATAAAAAAGCTACAGGTTAGACAGGCAGGACCTGCCCTTGGTGAAGCCAAGTTATCCTGCATCACCTTCTTCTTTCCATGTTCCTTAGTATAACTTCCAGGAGGATCTGCTTCATGATCTTCTGAACACAGAGGTGAGGCTAAGAGGTCTTTTTTTAAAGGAAATATCAGTATCACATATGAACTTTGAAATGCTATAGTCCTGGGTAAACTGAATATTAAGAGACCCAATTTATAACATGATGATTCAGCGAGTAAAAAAGTCACTTACAAGCTTTCACTACTCACTGAGTGCTGAAAGATTTTATTCATATAATAACTTTAACAAAGTTATTAACAGTTTCACTGAAGTTAATGTAATTGTTTACAGTCCCTTTTTATTTTAACGACATCAATGATGTGTATTTTGCAGCACAAAAGCTCAAGTACTTTCAACCTACCTTCACCAGCCTCATTGACTCATGTAAACTTGCAGAGCCCTAGTAACACTGCTAGTGCCTAAGCCGAACAAACCTCTTCCCTTGGTTTTATTTTAATGCTAAACGAGGCATTTAAATTAGACATTACACTAGAAGCTGGCATAGAGTAAATAGTCTTATAGGATCATTTGCCAGAAATAGATCTAGGCAAATCCGTAGATAACCCTGTCTGCATTGTTAATACTAAAGAAAATAGACAGGGATCCCATATCAAATAATCTATCAGAGAAGAAAATAATTAACATTTTCACCTGGAAAGTGGGAATTTTTGAAAAGTTCCTCCTTAAAGATTCATCATGGGGGCGTTTTGTGCTAGATTTTTTCTGCTGTCTGCAGGTTAGTTCACAAAAAAAAAAAGTAAACTACTTTCACAGAATTTGCCTCCGATAGCAGAAAAAAGACTATGAGCTGTCTTTTCTCTGCACTTGCACTTGCAGAAACAAGTTGAAGGAAAACAGAGGAAGATTACAATCTCCTATCAACTCTCTAATGTTAATAAGGAGAAAGAAAACAAAAATGTTAGCCTTTCCAAGCAAAGATGCTGCTCTAAACAACTATTAAGATCTTTGATGTAGGTTTTATCTGTGTCAGAAAATACAGACAACTTAAAGTCCTTGCAACATCTTAATAGTCTTGAAGATGTTTGCAATATTACAAAAATGCCCGTTGTCAGATAAGACACAATGATCTCTGCACTTAGAAGCTAAACTGTGTTCACTGTATTGAAAACAACTAGACAACTTTGAGATAGGTCCAAGTAAGATTAGTCAGCTTGTAAATGATCACACATATTGAAGTTGCTAAGGTTTTCATCCTGCAAATACCAATGTAAACAGCTGAACATAAGCATATAAGCATTCTTTGTGTCTTCAGACTGTTCATATGATTGGCAGGCATATGCTTAAATTGCAGCAATACTAGACAATATAATTGCTAAAAGTTGTGCAATTCCATTTTATAATAGGGTATAGAGCATTCCTCCTTACATACAAGATACTGCCTTAAAAGGCTGCTGCACAGATGTTACTGTATTTCTGAAGCATGTAAGAGATTTTCCTTTTGCATATCTCTAAACAAGATGTCCATGCCCCATAACAAGATCACAGACATAACTGTACCAGCCTCATTTTAACGCCAGACTCCTCCACTCCTGCTCTGATCCTGCCAAAATGATGACACATAAAGACCCCTGAAGCTAGACATATTCCTCAAAGAGTAACAAAGATGGACATCCACAATACATTGTTCATGACAGAAACAGGAAAATCTAGCCAAAAGGAGTCAGAACTATGCCCTCAACAGAAGTGTTTCTCTGAAGACAGGAATATCACCAGCCCTGAGCAGATATATATACATACATATCTGTATATCTATATCTATTTCTATATATATATAGATATATAGAAGGTGTTCCAGCAATAACACAGATAACTAAATTGTGTGTGTCTTCGGGGGAGATCCTGCATGTTTCTGAGCAGGATCAAAGAAGGAAATTATTTGTGATCCACTGCACTTCGAAAGAAAATTTAAAGAGGCAGCATGTTCTGTTCCTTTCTTTCAGCTGGGAGTATTACTCTGAGCTAGTGTGACCAGATCATTTTCTAATTATGATTCCTTCCTTACCAGCAGCAACAATTATGTTTCACTAGCTGGAAAGTTTGATCATTTATCAGGATTACTAAAAGACAGAAAGTTTTACCCTCATTCTCATTCTTCAGAGTCCTCTTTTCTACTTCTTTGGATTTCACTATAAAACCATTACCATTTCACACCCTCTCAAAATTATTGCAGGATTTTTTGAAGCTTTTTGCTTATATTTGTATCTGTATTTGTATATTTTTGGACATGGTATTATTTACCTAGTGGCAGTAACACAGAACAGACTTCCTAAAAAAAATAAATAAATAAAAAAATTCCAAATTGCATTATTGCTCTCACTTCATTTTTAATGCTGCTGTTTTATTAGATGCAGCAACAATGATATTCATGCTAACTTGTGTAGGATGACAAAGTATTGTAAAACGTAGCTAACCCTTTAAGTGGAACTGACATCTGTCATCTGTTATTCCCATTTAGCATGAGAATAAAGGAAGAAACTTTTTTTGGTGACAGCAACAAGAGATGGGTCAGGAAGTAGACTTGTTTACATTCTGGAATCAGATGAGTATAGAACTTTCTGATCTTCATCTCAATAATCAAGTCACTCGAATTTTTTTCCTAGGAACTATAACACACACAAAAAAAGTTTGAGCCAGCAGAAATGTATTTCAATTATAGCAGCCCTGAGCAAGTCACAATGAAAGTCTGGTAGAACGTCATAGTCCACTGTTTGTGAAGATAATTCTTATACATGTAATCAGTTCTAACAACCACAAAACACCCTGCAGCAGGCAACATCTCTACTCTTTGTTAAGATTTTTCCTTTCTTTCTGTTTTTCTCTTTTACTTTTATGGAATAATTTACTTTTTATTTCTAAAGCATAGTACATCATTTTCCTGTTGTGATACTCAGTGTCCTGTTTTCAACTGCAACAGTCAATTCCCTTCCTAGCAGCTGGTATGATGCTGCATTTTGGACATAGGATGAGAACAATACTGATAACACACAATCTTTTAGTTACTGCAGAGCAACCTTTACTTAAACATAGAGGACTTTTCAGCTTCTTACACCCTCCTACCAGTAGGGGGCTGGATGTGCACAAGTTGCTGGAAGGAGGCCGAACCAGGACAGCTGACCTAAACTGACCAAAGCAATATTCTGCACCATGGTGGTGTCATGGCGAACAATGAAATGGGTAGCTGGCTGCAGAGGCTGCCTACGCCTGGGGACTGGCTGACCATCAGTCAGTGAGTGATAATCTGGTAAAAAGTATCTTGGAAGATCAGTAAGTCATACGTTCTGCTTATCTGCAATCTAACTCTGTGAATTTGGACACCAGGTG